CTCCCAAAGTGCTGGGATTACAGGCGTGAGCCACCGCGCCCGGCCAAATGTTATCATTTCAACATGCAATCGATATTTTAAAGTATTTTTATGTTTTTGTTTGGATACTGTCTTTGAAATGCAATATGTACTTTGTACTTACAAAACATCTCAGCTTAGACTGTCACATTTCAAGCACTCAGCAGCCACCTTTGGCCACTGGTGGCTTTCCTGTTGGACAGTGCAGAAGTAGAGATGGGTTCGATGTTGAAATAAACCAGTGAATAAGTTGGCGACCCATAGTGCTCTCACCATCCTAACTTTGGGACATCCATTTCTGTCTGTCTTTTATTTATTTATTTATTTTAACTTTTTTTTTTTTTTTTTTAAAATGGGGTTTCTTTTTTCCCCAAGCTGGACTGCAATGGCGCGATCTCAGCTCACCACCACCTCTGTCTCCCTGGTTCAAGCAATTCTCCTGCCTCAGCCTCCTGAGTAGCTGGGATTATAGGCATGCACCACTTCTCCCAGCTAATTTTGTATTTTTAGTAGAGATGGGGTTTTGCCATGTTGGTCAGACTGGTCTCGAACTCCCAACCTCAGGTGATCCACCTGCCTTGGCCTCCCAAAGTGCTGGGATTACAGGTGTAAGCCGTCACACCTGGCCTATTTATCTATTTATTATTTATTTTTATTTTAAGTTCTGGGGTGTATGTGCAGGATGTGCAGGTTTGTTACACAGGTAAACATGTACCATGATGGTTTGCAGCATCTATCAACCCATCACCTAGGTATTAAACCCAGCATGCATTAGCTATTTTTCCTAATGCTTCGACCTCCATTTCTTTTTTTTTCTCCTTTTTTTTTGGGGGGACGGAGTTTCGGTCTTGTTACCCAGGCTGGAGTGCAATGGCACGATCTCGGCTCACCGCAACCTCCGCCTCCGGGGTTCAGGCAATTCTCCTGCCTCAGCCTCCTGAGTAGCTGGGATTACAGGCACGCGCCACCATGCCCAGCTAATTTTGTGTATTTTTTAGTAGAGATGGGGTTTCACCGTGTTGACCAGGATGGTCTCAATCTCTTGACCTCGTGATCCACCTGCCTCAGCCTCCCAAAGTGCTGGGATTACAGGCTTGAGCCACCGCGTCCGGCCCTTTTTTCTTCTTTATAAACACGGGGTTTCACCATGTTGGTCAGGCCGGTCTTTGAACTCCAGACTTCAGGTGATCCACCCGCCTTGGCCTCCAAAGTGCTTGGATTACAGGCATGAGCCACCACGCCCGGCCTCAACCTCCATTTCTATATGTGAAACCCACCTACACAATTCAGGGTTCCCAGCTCTGTGAGAGGGGTCCCAAGTGAACCTTCATTCTGTGGTTTCTCAGTGTCCTGGGGTCCACTATTGTAGTCATTATATTCATGTCAGGATATTCGTAATAGTAAAAGTAGCAGTGCTCATAGTAATAGAAGCTTCTATCTCTGGAGTACTGACCTTCTCTCATTATCTTCACAAGAACCCTAGGAGGTGTTCTTTTTATTCCCACTTTACAGGTAAGGCAACTGAGGCTGAAAGGAGTAGTCATATGCCTGAGGTCACAGAGTGGCAGAGCCTGGATACCACAAAAGGCCCCCGGCAACGATCATGACTAACTGCAGAGACCTGGAGCTGCCCAGAGTTTGTTTCCTTACATGTGAACCACATTGTTAAAGTGTTTTCCAGGAGTTTCTGATAAATGAGAAACTGTGTGCATAGCATTTGCAAATAAGTATCTACTGAGGGAGCCCATACTGCAATTATCATGATCATCATTGCACCTTTATGACTGAACATCCAAAGAATGCAGGCTGAGGGTTTCAGATTTAGAAGCCCACTTTCCAAAGGGAATGGAAATGGAGAACCAGGACTTGCAAAATGAATTCGTGTCCTCCCCAGGGTGGGGCCTCAAGAGTCCTCACCCCAGGGCGGGGTCCTTCTCAGTTGCAATTTTACACCAACATCCACACCCTGCCGGCAAGAAAGAGAAGCAAAATATAAAGAAGCACATTTCTTCTGCTTCCTCCCTGAGAGGAAGGAGGAGCTGGTTTCTCAGCAGCTCCCTAGAGAAGTGGGTGGGCTTACCCTCCAGCCCCAGTCTGGCTGTGAAGGTCCTGAGACCATCTGGGTAGGGTGCTGGTGGGAGGAAGAGGAGGAGCGCTGGGAGAGCAGGCCTTCCCCCATGGGGTAGCAAAAGACAATGGCATTTTGCAGTTCCAAATTCAAAATGGCACCACCAGCCAACCTTGTCTTGAGATAAGGCAGGGGCTGCTGGCAGGCAGGCTGCTTGAAGAAGGCACAGGAGGCCGGGCCCGGTGGCTCACACCTGTAATCCCAGCACTTCGGGAGGCTAAGGCAGGCAGATCATGAGGTCAGGAGTTCGAGACCAGCCTAGCCAACACGGTGAAACCCCTGTCTCTACTTAAAAAAAAAAATTAGCTGGGCATGGTGGCACACACCAGTAATCCCAGCTACTCGGGAGGCAGGAGAAGAGCTTGAATCCAGGAGGTGGAGGTTGCAGTGAATGGAGATCGTGCCATTGCACTCCAGCCTGGCAACAGAGCGAGACTCCGTCTCAAAAAAAAAAAAAAAAGGCACATGAGTCAGGTCAGGGGCTCATGCCTGCAATCCTAGCAATTCGGGAGGCTGAGGTGGAAGGATTTCTCGAGCCCAGGAGTTGGAGACCAGCCTGGGCAACATAGTGAGACTCTGACTCAAAAAATAAAAAAGGCAGCACAGGCCTTCACCCCAACCCTCCCACTCTTAAACCATGGCCAAGGTGGGGTTCAGAAGGGGCAGAGCAATGTTCATGGGAGCCATTCTCTACTGCTGGTTTATTCACACAGTGGGCGAGGCCATTGTATCTGTAGTCTCTCCTTTGATCCTCACAGCTGTTAGAAACGCCACAGTAAGCATCTTAACATGGGTTATAATTTTTCTTTTCTTTCTTTCTTCTTTTTTTTTTTTTTTTTTTTTTTTGAGACAGGGTCTCAGTCTGTCACCAAGATGGATTGCAATGGTGTAATCACAGCTCACTGCAGCCTCGACCTCCCAGGCTTAAGCGATCCTCCTGCTTCAACCTCGTGAGTAGCTGGGACCACAGGTGCACACCACCACCATGCCTGAATTTTTGAATTTTTTGTAGAGATAGGAGTCTTGCCATGTTACTCAGGCTGGTCCCAAACTCCTGGACTCAAGTGATCTGCCTGCCTCTGCCCACCAATGTGTTGGGATTACAGACGTGAGTCATCACACCCTTTTTTAAATCTTAAGAATACTATGAGCGTGATAAAGTAATCCTGCCTTATCTGTGACTCACATGTTCTAAGACCTCCAGTGAATGCATGAGGCTACCCATAGTGCTGAATCCTGTATCTCCCAAGCTTTTAATATCTGATAACTGAGGCTGGGCACGGTGGGTCACACCTGTAATCCCAGCATTTTGGGAGGCTGAGGTGGGCAGATCATCTGAGGTCGGGAGTTTGAGACCAGCCTGACCAACATGGAGAAACCCCATTTCTACCACACACACACAAATAAAATCTGATAACTGAGAGGACTATGAGCAGGTGGTGTAGACAGCATGTGTACACATTGGACAAAGGGATGATTCAGATCCTAGGCAGGACAGGGTGGGACAGGGTGAGATTTTATCATGCTACTCAGAATGGTGTGCAATCTAAAACATTAATTCTTTCTGGAATTTTCCATGTTTTTTAATATTGTAGTTAGCTGTAGCAAACTGAAACATGGATGGAGAAACTTTGGGTAAAGAACCACTGTACTAACATTATCTTTCCCATATCACAAGTAGGGAAATTGGGGCTCAAAGAGAAAGTGACCCATGCAAGCTCCTGTAGGTATTGTGTAAGGATCTGAATTTGAACCCTAGTCTAACCAACCCCAGGAGCCAGCTCTGGGTTTTAGAGATCTCTTCAATCCCTCAGAACCCACAGCCCCAAATGCCCAAAGCGCAGCTTACCTTGCTATGGTAAAAGAATGTAGGCAGCGGTCACCCTTCACTCCACATCTGCGTGTTGTTTGTCAGCAGAGGTGGGGAGACAGGGCCTGCTAAGGGCTTCGACTTCCTCCCACTGGCCCTTTCCAGCCCAAGGTAGAACCCCGGCCAGAGCATGCCTCACACCCCACCCCAGTCTCGCTAGAATCACACACATGCAATTTCCAAATGACTGGGCTCTCTCCCTCCACCCAGTCTGGCTTTCACTTCTTTAGAAGATTTATGTGTGAATCTGTTTTATTTTGTTTTAACTGCAGATAAATGCCACAGGGCACTTCCCACTAAAGAAAACTGTCTAGCCACTGCTCACCTAGGAAAGCCTGTCTGCCTTCTAGCTAGAAGGCATCTAGCCAATGACTTTATGCTGACAAAGCCCTTTTTCCATCCTTATCTCATCTACTCCTCTGCCAGCCAAGCTTAGCAGTATTGTTCTCAGAGCGCTCAAGGACAGAGTGTTTATCCTCATCCCTATTATCTGGAAGAGTGGAGGCGTTTGTGGCCACTCACTGAATTGCTATGCAGTGAGGACTAACACAGGCAGCTCAGAAAGGTGAGGTGACTTGCTCAAGATTAGACAGTGTCAGCATCAGAGCTCAACCTTTTGCTTTCTTTCTTTCTTTTTTTGGGGTAGAGGGACAGGGTCTCTCTGTTGCCCAGGCTGGAGTGCAGTAATGCAATCTTGGCTTACTGCAACCTCCACCTCGCCAGTTCAAGCAATTCTCCTGCCTCAGCCTCCCAAGTAGCTGGGATTACAGGCACCCGCCACAACACCAGGCTAATTTTTGTATTTTTGGTAAAGACAGGGTTTCATCATGTTGGCCAGGATGGTCTGGAACTCCTGGCCTCAAGTGATCTGCCCGCCGCAGCCTCTTCAAGTGCTGGGATTACAGGTGTGAGCCACCATGGCCAGCCACTCTTGCTTCTGACTCCAAAACCTATTCTCTAGTGCTCCAAAATGTGTCTTCAAGGAAGTTTATTGCAGCACTGTTTACAGCAAGCTAAATGTCCCTCACTAGTGGGTTGATAACATGCACTATAGCTTTGCTTCTCAAAATGTGGTATCACTAGCAGCCTGGACATCACCTGGGAGTGTGCAGAATCTCAGGTGCCACCCAGACCCACTGAATCAGGAGCTGCAGTTTAACAAGACCCGTAAGGTGATTCGTGTGCGCATTCACTTTTGAGAGGAGCTGCATTACAGTACATCCATCAGATGGACTACTTGGGCACTTTTAAATAATTTTTTTTTTTTTTTTTGTAGAGATGGAGTCTTGTTATGTCACCCAGGCTGGTCTCCACCTCCTGGGTTCAAGTGATCCTCCCACCTTGGCCTCCCAAAGTGCCAAAGTGCCGAGATTACAGGATGAATCCCTGCACTCAGCTGTACTTCTTAAAAGAGTGTGATAGATCTATATAGGCTTATCTGAACATTTATTGTAAAGCGGGAGGAGAGGGGAAGCAAGTTACAGCCCAGCATGAATTTGTATGATTGAATTTGTGTGCACATGTTAGAAACAAAAATAGCAGTTGGGCGCAGTGGCTCACACCTGTAATCCCAACACTTGGGGAGGCCGAGGTGGGCAGATTGTTTGAGCTCAGTTTGAGGCCAGCCTGGACAACACAGCAAATCTCATCTCTACAAAAAGTACAAAAATTAGCTGGGCGTGGCAGCATGCACCTGTAGTCCCAGGTCCTCAGGAGGCCAAGGTGGGAGGATGGCTTGAGCATGGGACATGGAAGTTGCAGTAAGCTGAGATGTCACCACTGTATTCCAGACTGGGTGACAGAGCCAGACCCTGTCTCAGAAAAATTAAAAGTAATGTTAAAACAATTTAAAAAGCACTAACAGCCAAGTGTAGTGGCTCACACCTACAATCCAGCACTTTGGGGGGCTGAGGCAGGAGGATTGTTTAAGCCCAGGAGTTTGAGACCAGCCTGGGCAATACAGCAAGACCCCCATCTCTACAACTACTTGGGAAGCTGAGAGGCTGAGGTAGGAGGATCGCTGGAGCCCAGGAGTTTAAGACTAACGGGCAACATCGTGAGACTCTGCCTGTAAATAAATAAATTTTAAAAAAGCGGCCGGGCGTGGTGGCTCACGCCTGTAATCCTAGCACTTTGGGAGGCCGGGATGGGTGGATCACCTGAGGTCAGGAGCTCAAGACCAGCCTGGCCATCAGGATGAAACCCCATCTTTTTTATGCCCGGTGAAACCCCATCTTTAAAAAAAAAAAAAGCACTAGTATATGTTAATGGATGGATTAATGTATGTTAACGTACATATGGATTAAGTTGCTCATCAGCTGGGCAGCCTCCCAGCCAGTCCGGGAGGGGAGCCAAAACAGCACCGAAAGAAATGAAAACACTGCCAGGTAACTCAGGTTTCCACATGAAATAGACCTGTAACCCCCGGTGACCAGAGGTATGTAGCACCCCCTGGGGGAAACGAACACACCACCTTCCCAGCACTAGAGTCCAGCTACAGAGCCTCTCAGGACTCTGGTCATGTCAGCTTATAGTCCTTGGTCTGGGCTGCATGCCGTGCCCAAGACCTAGTGATCTGTTAGAGCAGCTCCTGATCTGATGCCCTTTCAGACAGCTCTGAGGAGCTGACTGGCTTGGACAACAACACCTCCAAGACAATTCCAAATAAGCCAAAAGGCCAGCTTACATTCTGTGCCTGTAATAAACCCTTTATTTTGAAAAGAGGAATGTTATTTTTTATTAACAGAAAATTGGTTTCCCCACATTCCGCCTAAACACACTTTGAAAGGCTATCTTACAAATATCAGGTTGAGGGGGTGCCAACTTCTTAGCCTGCCCAGGGCACCTGTATATGTCTCAGTCCAGTTCTGTACATGGATAAGAAAAAAACCCTGGAAAGATTTATAGCAGTGGGCCAAGGCAATCATGATGAGGTAAAATAACTTTTACTTTTTTTTTTTTTTTTTAGAAGGTTTCACTCTGCTGCCCAGACTGGACTGCAGAGGTGTGATCTCAGCTCGATACAACCTCCGCCTCACGGGTTCAAGCGATTCTCCTACCTCAGCCTCCTGAGTAGCTGGGATTATAGGTATGAGCCACCTGACCTGTCCCAGTTTTCTTGTTTTTGTTTTTTGAGATGGAGTTTCACTCTTGTCACCCAGGGTGAAGGGCAGTGGCGTGATGTCAGCTCACTGCAACTGTCACCTCCCAGGTTCAAGTGATTCTGCTGTGTCAGCCTCCCAAGTAGTGGGAATTATAGGCACTCGCCATCATGATTGGCTAATTTTTGTATTTTTAGTAGAGACAGGGTTTTACCATGTTGGCCAGGCTGGTCTGGAACTCCTGACCTCAGGTGATCCACCTGCCTTGGCCTCCCAAAGTGCTGAGATCACAGGCATTAGCCACTGTGCCCAGCCTAATTTTTTTCTTACTGATAGAGATGGGGTCTTGCTATGTTGCCTAGGCTAGTCTCTAACTCTTGGACTCAAGCAATCCTCCCACCTTGGCCTCCCAAAGTGCTGTGATTACAGGCGTGAACCTCCCAGCCTGGCCAGGAAAACAGTTTCTTAAAAAGTTAAACATTTGGCCTGGCGCGGTGGCTCATGCCTGTAATCCCAGCACTTCGGGAGGCCAAGATGAGCAGATCATGAGGTCAGGAGTTTGAGACCTGGCCGACATGGCGAGACACTGTCTCTACTGAAAATACAAAAATTAGCTGGGTGGGGTGGTGCACGCCTGTAATCCCAGCTACTCGGGAGGCTGAGGCAGGAGAATTGTTTGAACCTGGGAGGTGGAGGTTGCAGTGAGCCGAGACCGCACCATTGCACTCCAGCCTAGGCAACAGAGCCAGACTCCATCTCAAAAAAAATAAACAAGAAAAAAAGAAAAAGAGAAGAAAAAGAAAAATAAACAATAAACAAAACAAAACAAAATACAAAAATTAGCTGGGCGTCGTTGCGGGCGCCTGTAGGAGGCTGAGGCAGGAGAATCACTTGAACCCAGGACATAGAGGTTGCAGTGAGCCGAGATCACGCCTTTGCACTCCAACCTGGGCAACAAGAGTGAAACTCCGTCTCAAAAAAAAAAAGGTAAACATATACCTACTATGTGATCCAACCATTCCACTTCTTTGTTAGATATGGGTGCTTTTTGAGACGGGGTTTCACTCTTGTTACCCAGGCTGGAGTGCAATGGCGCAATCTCGGCTCACCGCAACCTCCGCCTCCTGGGTTCAGGCAATTCTCCTGCCTCAGCCTCCTGAGTAGCTGGGATTACAGGCACGCGCCACCATGCCCAGCTAATTTTTTGTAGTTTTTAGTAGAGACGGGGTTTCACCATGTTGACCAGGATGGTCTCGATCTCTTGACCTCGTGATCCACCCGCCTCGGCCTCCCAAAGTGCTGGGATTACAGGCGTGAGCCACCGCGCCCGGCCCACCATTCCACTTCTATGTAATGACCCAAGGGAAATAAAAGTGTATATACTTGAATGTTCTTATCAGCTTTGTTTATAATTGCCGAAATCTAGAAGCAACCTAAAGGTCCATTAACAAGTGAATTGATGAACCAGCTGTGGTGCATCCAGACGATGGAATCGACCTGAGCAGTGGAAGGGAACGACCTACCATGCACACAACGACAGGGACACAGACGAATCTCAGAATCATTATGCTAAGTGGAGGGGCAAAGCCAGTTTAAAAAAAATGCATACTGTATGATTCCATTTTATATAAGATTCTAGAAAATGCCACCTACTCTATAGTGATGGAAAGCAGATCAGTGTTTGCCTGGAGATGTAGGGGGTAAGCAGAGAGATATAAAAGGAGGCGATTACAAAGGAATATAAGGAAACTTTCTTTTTTCTTTTTGAGACAGAGTCTCCCGCCGTCACCCAGGCTGGAGTGCGGTAGTGCCATCACAGCAGACTGCAGCCTCAGTCTCCTGGGTGCAAGTGATCCTCTAGCCTTAGTCTACGGAGTAGCTGGGCCTGCAGACACACACCACATACCCAACTAATTTTTGTATTATTTATAGAGACGGGGGTTTCACCATGTTGTCCAGGCTGGTCTCGAACTCCTGAGTTTAAGCGATCCTCCCTCCTTGGCCTCCCAAAATGTTGAGATTATAGGTGTGAGCTACTGTGCCTGGCCTGGAAACTTTCTAGGGTGATGGATATGTTCACTGTTTTGATTGTAGTAATGGTTTCATGAATACACACATACATGTGCATGCACACACACACACATATGCACATATATGTCCCTATGTATGTGTATATACATACACGAGTGGGTATCAAACTTATAAAAGTGTACATTTTAAATATATGCAGTTTGCTGTATGTCAATTACAGCAAAAGGAAG